TCCTTAGGCATTACAGATTTTGAATAACCATTGCGTAAGTATTCTGAGCGATAGTAAGGATGGGCCTTTGAAATCGTTGATACATGAGCCGACTCAGCTGCGGCTATCGCATGTATGCAAGGCAGTTTGTCGAGGTCAAACATACGACATGTACACTTCTTCTGTTTTAAATTAACAACATTCATAGACGCAAGACTCCTCACTTCGTATTGATGGGGATCAATCTCCTGAACACTTAGCTTACTAGCGCGAATCACTCGTGACTGTTAGAGGAAAGACACAGTAATTAAAATAGATGGATCAAAAAATAAAGGCTAATAGTTTAAAATAAAGTAAGTTATGTGGAATGTAATATATACCTCTAGTGCTTTTTCAACTCCTTTAGTGAGAATGGTTGTCATAAGCGCAGCTTGTTTTCTCCTTGCAGCATACCATCGAGTTAACATCAATCTTATATCGTCTAGCAGTTCAACAATGGGATACCTTCTAGCAGGATTTAACACTTTGTTTAATGATTCAGCAATGTTGCTTGTTGTGAAGTTGTACCTATCTCCTAGAAAGTGAACCCTACTCCACGTAGTTATGTCTGCCCGCACCAAATAGCTGTGCAGGTCTGGATACAAAGCTTTAATAATATCAAAAGTTGCATTGAAATCTACTAACCGATAAGCTGTAGCCGCCTTCTTCACTAATCCAAATGTTTCACTTCCTCTAAATCTAAGCTTTATGTTTTTGTATAGATGGTATGTGCAAATCCCTCGGCTAGCTTGTGGATATACAGTCCGTATAGCTTTTGCAATAGAATTATGCCTATACGAAATAATGGCTAGTCCATGATCATCTGGAATAACACAACTTAGTTGTCTGAAGAACCATTCCCAGGATTCATCGTTCTCTGAATCAACAACAGCAAACGCTATGGGAAATATATTGAAATTTCCATCTTGTGTGGTTGCTAGTAACAAGGTCCCTAAATATTTCCCCTTCAAAAAGGTACCATCCACAACAATAACTTTCCTCATAAAAGTAAAGCCGTCAATGCTAGCACCAAATGCAATGAAAACATACTTGAATCTATCTAACTCATCTACTTCAAGCCTAGTAAGGGTCCCGGGGTTTGCTCTCCTAATCCTGTATAAGTATTCTGGAAGGTGTTGATACCCTGTTTCCGGACTACCTCTAACTAATTCACGTGCATACTTAAGTGTATGATGAGCTTTCCAATATCCAACCTAGTAAGATGAAAGTTTATGTCATATAGTTACCAACGCCTTACGGGTGTGATCACTTTTATGGAAACCTAGTAAATAGACTTTACCTTGATGCCATAACGCAGTTTCAACGCCTCAGATACATGATTAGGGAGTACGCCTGGGCCTACACCACCAACGAAATTCTTGTAAAGTACTGCAAGAATATCCTTGGTTGCTTGTCTACAACGGGCGGATCGCTCTGTTACAGAACACGTATGCTGATTCACATAGACTTTGATGTGAAAATTCCCAGATGCATCAATCGGTGTAGCTCTAACTCTCCAATTGCACCCTTTAACCCAACACTTTATAGCATAAACCCACGGCGTAGACCGAGAAACGACGAAGTCAAATTGTTGTAAGACACTAATTATCTTCATTCGAATCACCAATTGAAATTTCGATTCATATTTTTGCCCAACAACGATAGCAACACCTCCACTAAGTAATTGCACATACTCTTTTGCAGTAATCGACACCCTCTTGCCAATTGGAACGATCCTATTCTCTTCTTTTTTTTGCACATCTACCATTTCTTCATCTTCTTCATCTTTAACCGCTGCTTCCTCTGCATTCTCTTCTTCTTCAACTTCTAACTTTTCTTCATCAGCTTCATCTTCATCATCTGTTTCCTCATCAGATAACTTATAAGACAAACCGTAATCTTCATCCCCAGAGCTTGCTCCATCACTATCATTGCAACAATCAAACCTATAAATCTCGTCCTCATCCTCGCCTTTCTGTTCCTCTCCTTCTAGATAAGCTTCGCCGTCCATTGAACAAGCATAAATTGGTTGTTTCCCTGCTGCTTACTCTTGTAATACTGCTCTTCGTTGGACTCTATTTTCTCAGGTGATGCATCCGGGCCGAAAATATATTTTCCAGTTTCATATTCTTCGATTTGGACACAGAGGCGCCCCACGAATTCGGAATTGCATTGCCGGATAAATCCTTCTAACTGGCGCCGGTTACATACAATAACCGGAGGAGTATCTTCTGGAATGACGATGAAGTTCATCGTATGCAATTTATAACTAAGCTTAACCTCATAAACCTTTCTATCAAACCCGAAATCCTCGTACACCATTGCCAAAAAATCATCAAACGAACTTCCTGCTTTCGCAGACAGTACCCTGCAACCTCTTCTTTCATCTACAATAAATGACCATTTGTTTTTTGCAAATTTCCACTTCCCACATACCAGTGGAATTTCTACCATCTTTCACCAGATGAAACAGCAATAGATCTGTAATAAACAACACTTTTTTGCTAAAATGTTTGCTTCGGGGGAACAAGACAGGTTTCCGGCATAATAAATCGTTAATGTAAGGGTACACAAGACTTTCGCTTTTCTTTATGTTCGCCCTCTTTAACACTGATCGATAACAATTTCTTACATATCTATCACCACATAGGTCCAAAAAAATCGCTCTAACGTGCTAGTTGAGTAAACTGTTACTCTGCCTCGTTATGACAGAGTTAAGAAATAACTCTGTCCAAATAATTAACCCTACCATGTTGTAACAGACTTATTACGGTTTCTGTGTCATATAACTCTAAATCGCTCTTTTAGTCTACCACCATTATATAAAACTCTCCCACACAAATATATTATTTTACAATATCACATAACTCTCCCACCACATAAAATTAAATCTATCACGGTGTTATATGAGTAAACGTAAAGTCATCATAATCTGTCAAATGACTCTATGAAACAAATAACTCTGCTACTACGTAAAATATCTCTACCCGAAAACTCTATCAATTATTAACTCTATGATATTAATCTAGTTGGAAAATATAGTTTTTTTTATTTCTATCGATTAAATCTAATAATTTAATTAACTCTGCCGTCACTACAGCGACAGAGTTTTGTCGGCGCGGGACATTTTCGCGGGTTAAATACAACTTCTCTAACTGACGTGGCAATGGCAGATTCGTAATTATGTTTCTCAGACAACATCAAACGAGGGGCAATTCTGCCTTTAACGTTGAACAATTCGTACGAGACATATGGGTAATAAACGCACTTTTTTGTGCTTTTTGGGTAACTCACCCTATATATATAGCACCAAAAAATATTTACCAACCCTTGCAACACGTTCAAATGTAGCAATTGTTTAACATTTTTTTGGTAAAACAAGAGTTAAAGATATGTCTAGTAATATTACAAATTGTATCACACTAGATACCGCGGGTCGATTTTTTAACTAAAAACTAAATTTTAAATTGTATTTTTTAATATTGTTTATTTTGTTAAGTGTTTAAGATTGTATAATTGTATTTTGATTATTAATTTTAAGATTTCATCCGTGATATTAATACCGTCCCATATTAATATCGATCCAAACCCGTCCCACTATATAACCCTGTCCCGTGAAATTAAACATTATTATTTTAATAATATTTTATTTAATAGACATATAATTCGAGTCAGTTTAAAAATTTGATTATATATATATATATATATATTTTAATTTTAGTTAATAATAATTAATTCTATATAATGATTTATGAATTAATTGCGTATGACCAACGGTCAAGATTGAAGATTAAAAACCGGATTAAGATTTGAATGGCCACGATTAAATGTAGGGATTGCTGAGATCTTTTAAGGAAATCAAATTGAATATGGATGTAACTGTGGCAATGATTAGTTATGCTTAATATATTATGTTAAGATTTTTGGAAATGAGTTTTTTATGTTAATATCTTTGATTTAATTTTGAAAATCTAAATAATTAATGTCAATGGCATTTGATCGTAAATAAGATGGAACTCCAGGATTTATTTCATAAATGTCTCCAAAAATATATATATATATAGATATACAAATATACAGTAAAACTCTATAAATTAATAATGTTAGGACCGAAAAATTCTATTAGTTTCGATAAATTAATTTATAGAGAGATTTTGCAATTTTTATGAAAATATAAGATTTCCTTCATTATATAAAATATCTTTCTAGAACCAATTACAAGTAAAAAGTATTTATCATGTCTACAAAACAACACCAAAAGTTATTGATACCGTAGAAATATTAGCATTAAATTCAAACAAGAAGTAATGCAAAATTGGTCCACAAAATTTGAAATTTCTACTATAGTTTGCTTTAAATTAGTATAAAATATAAATTTATATGAAATTTATAAACTAAATTCACTAAATGATTTTTCAAATAATATATATTTAACTAATAAAAATTTAGTATTTTCTAATTTTAATTAGTAAATGCAAAGTAAGTGCTAACATGGTGGAGACCATTTCATCACAGACAAAATTTGATAAGTATTTTGAAAGCCTTACAATTAGGGTGGACATTTTAACCGAACCAAACCAAACCAAACTAAACCAAATCAAGCCAAACCAACATAATTCAAACCAACCCAACCAAATCAAAGCTTACACCAATCAAAATTGATAAACTCCTAAAACATATACAAAAGTCAATTCATGATTCAAAAAAAAATGAAAATAAACAAAATACATCTTCTATATAAAGGGAACAAAAACAAATAAGTAGGTAACAAACACCCAAGATTTGAGGATATATCCGAATTTTGGTATTTCTGAGATCATTGAAATGGATAAAAAGAAATATACTAGAATAAAAAATTTAAAAATATGAATAAATATCTGGATACATAAGTTTATATAGCTGAACATAGATGCTTGGCTATAAAATGTAAAAACATGATTAATATACTTAACTCAATGAAAGATAGAGATCAGACAAGAAAAATATCCTTTATGCGTTATACCTTCCAAAGATACCTCTTCTACTTGGTGTTATAAGTATCATCATCGAGAAGTTCTCTTATCCAATCGTCATCATTTGTTGTGTTTCTCTCAACTGAAGAAGTTGAACCAACAAAACCCAAATCTGTTTCAAAATTGAAGTTTTTTCATGCATAAAGATTTGAGGAAACTTCTTGAATTGAATACACAAACAATGAAGTGAATGAAAGTTTACCAATTGTGTTTGCAATGGGTGGTGTAACCTCGGTATGGCTAAGTAGGGAGGACGGAAAAGGTGGGAGCTCCGAGCTGGTATCGGTTTTCGGTCTTTCTCCTACTGAACCATAAACAACTGATTCCAACAATTCATCATAGAATGATGATGGGAAATCTGTTGGTGTTTGGCCTATCAAAGGGGGCTGAACCAAAGTGTTGTCTGGCTCAAGATTCATCATTGGGTTATATTGTTCTGCTCCAAAACTGCTAGGCACTTCATGAGCATTAAATCCTTGGAATGAAGGGAGCTCCAAGTTCCCAACCCCGTGAATGAGAGGCATAGGAGGAGAAGAACATGTAGCATTGCCAAACAAATGGATGTCAGGTAATTGTTCTTGAGTGCTATCCACGGAAAGATAATTCAAGAGGTTAGGGTTTTGCTCGTTCATGACATACCCATTTGTGAAAGGAAATGTGGTTTCTGGTTCCCTAGGCTGAACATTGGCAAGCATTGACTGGTAGTATGAAGAAAATTGATTGAGTGGCAAGTTATTGAGTGCCGCGTCAGGTTTCTCGACGTTATCTACCATCAACAAGTCTTGAGCATCCAATAAATCAATCTTTAGACCATTTCGTAATGCTGTACTTATCGCCTGCTTTCGAACTTTATCAGGGTAAACTGGTAAACCAAGTCGTTTCAATTTCTTACGTCTTAATTACGTTCCAAAAGTTCTTTATCTCATTATCTGTTCGACCAGGCAACTAAAAGAAACAAAAGTTTAAATCAAACAGTAAAAGAAGATGAAAATGTAGAGTGTGAAAAAAGGAAAGAGAGTTACATACTTCTTTAGACATTTGTGCCCATTTGTTCCCCAAAACAGCTTGGAGTTCAATAACACGTTGCTCTTCCTCCTCCGTAAAGGGGCCTCTTTTCAAGCCTGGCCTTAGATAATTCAGCCAACGAAAACGACAACTTTTAGCAGTATGAGAAAGGCCCGTGTGTTTTGGAACATCAGTCCAAGTTACATCACCATGTTGATTAACATAATCTTTCAAAAGTTTGTCTTCTTCTTGTCTCCATATAGTATAATTTTTCTTCATTGTTAGTAAATCATACGCTTGATCCTGAATCATGGCGAATTTTTACCCATCATGAGTGAGTTTCATATGTAAGTATGCATGAGTATAAGAATTCTTTCTAGCAATCAAAACCAACATAATTTGTAATTAAAAAATGGAAACTAAACTCTTTTTGTGCAACAATTCGTCGATACCTATAAAACACAACTCATTAAATACGCATATCAATAAGAGTTTTTTCTTAAATCACAAATTTGGAGCATCTAGGGAGACCACTAGCAAAATATTATTCATCTAAAATAAAATTTAATCAGTTTTTATTTGTATATTCATGACTGGAATTTTTTAAATTTGGTTACAGCAAAACATAAAATTTTTTGGCTAATAAGATTTTTTTTCTTCACTGTTGGTGAGAACCAAATATTATATCAGACCAGATCAGTCTTGTCAATATGTTCAGAGGACAAATGGTGGGAAACATATTTTGTTGATGGAACAACCAAAGAATTCGGATATAATTTTACTATTGATATTGATTGGACAATTCCAAAATTAATTCGATAAACAGAAAAAAAAATTATTAGATAATGCTAGATTTGATTTTCGGCACTAACCTGGTGTTATACCGATCTTAAGAATCTGATTTGGCGGACGATTTGCCGAATAATGGAGAAGAGAAAAAATCAGAGACAAAGAGAGTAAATTTCAAACTACTTTACTAACGGGACCCCTAAAGCCCGAAATCAACCTTATATAAACAAAAGGTCCATAAAGGACGACCATACAGTAAGATAAGATTTAAAAAAATTTACACCACATAAAATTAACTTTTAAAAGTGAATTACTTAACTATTAATCAAATATTTTCTTCAACTAGAGTATTCTTCAAAAGGTGAACTTTTTTTCTTCACTTAACCATTTCTTAGAATGCTCTTATTCCCAAACTCTTTGGCAGTTTTCCTTAAAATAAACTATGTAATGAAAGTTGACATAGGCTCATACGTGATCCCAAAATCTAGAAGTTGTTTCAACTGAATAAATAACTTTGGATCGACTCTTTCAACCGCATGAGGAATGACCATGATCGTGAAATTGGTGTAGGTTGTCATTTTAACTTTTCATAAAATACTGAAGGGGAATTTATACTTTATACGTCGTCGACATAGTTTAGTTAAGTTGTGTAATATGTAACACCAACATTACTAGAAACAGCTTCAAACCATAAAAAAAATTTGTAATGTGTGCCAAGACCTCATTATGATTGAACAACATTAAGAGAAACTACAAACAAAAACACCTCTTAGCTATTAGGTTTTGACGGTAAGGGAAAATTTTGAACAAATCTAATACAATGCTACTAGTTAAAGTAATGAAAATCTCAATCTTAAATTTTTACAAAGACTTTTAAAGATCACTATTATAGATATTCTACAATTTAAGAGTTCTACTATATTCTCCATTTACTTGCTATGTATGGAGAAGGATTATATTAACATGAGATATTACTTAAAGGTGGAATTCTTAAATGGGTAAACTCATGAAATTTCATATAGGTATAGAAAGACACTTGGTTACATTACTATGTTTCTCTACCTACAAAGTATAAAGGTCACATTATTTTCCAGCATTTAATGGTAAATCATTAATAAATATGTTTGCAAGCACTTTTTATTTAATAATAGTTGGTGTTTTCATAGAGTCAGCATATATCTCCATAACCTAAATTCCAATTAGGCTCCGAATGGCACTCCGATTTAGGTGTGACTCCGATTTGAGTGAGGGAGCGATGTAGTTTGGGTGCGGTGTGATTAATCAAATTTATGAATGGTAATGCGATTCGGCTACGATCCGTTATCACATTTTTTCTGAATGACAAACCGATTTGAGTGCGATTAGATGACAAAATTACTAAAAAGGGTATTGGTTTTAATATTTTTAATGCGTTACTTATTTATCTAATGTATTTTTCCACTAAAAATGTGATTTCGTGTTCTCTCGCAAAAAATATGATTTTCCGTTTTCCCATCAAAACCGCAATTCCGAGTTTTCCCGCAAAAAAACATGATTTTCCGTTTTCCCGTCAAAATCGCGATTCCGAGTTTTCCCGCTAAAAACGTGATTCTGAGTTTTCCTGTCAAAAATGTGATATTCCGTTTTCCCGTCAAAAACAAGATTTTGAGTTTTTCCGCCAAAAACGTGATTCCGAGTTTTTCTGCCAAAACCATGATTCTGAGTTTTCCCGCCAAAACCGTAATTTTCCGTTTTCCCGTCAAACCCACGATTCTGAGTTTTCCCGCGAAAAACGTGATTTTCCATGTTTTCCCGCCAAAACCGTGATTCCGAGTTTTGACGCCAAAACCGTGATTCCAAGTTTTCCCGCCAAAACCATGATTCTAAGTTTTTTCGCCAAAACCGTAATTTTCCGTTTTCCCGTCAAAACCACGATTAGGAGTTTTCCCGCCAAAAACGTGATTCTGAATTTCCCGCAAAAAAACGTGATTTTGCGTTTTCCCGTCAATACCGTGATTACGAGTTTTTCCGCCAAAACTATGATTCCGTGTTTTTCAGCCAAAACCGTGATTTTGGGTTGTCTGCCAAAAACGTGATTTCGGTTTTTCCGTCTAAACGTGATTATGTAATTTCTTGCCAAAAACGCGATTTCGTTTAATCTGTCGAAAACGTGATTCCACATTTTCCCGCCAAAACGTGATTCTACGTGCAGCAGCCAAAAATGTGATTTTCTGTTTTTCCGCCAAAAATATTCCGCCTTTCCCGCTAAAAAAAACATATTTTCTGTCAAAAAATATAATTCCGCATTTTTTATAATATATATTATATATTAATATTTCATTATTTGTATTTTTATATATGAAACACGTTTGGACTTACGAACGTATTTGACTATTTTTAGAAAAACACTAGGGATAAAAAAGTAATTTGCATAACAGATAAACCTTGCAGCAGCTCAATCGCACCATCTGACCCCGATTAGTGGTCTCCTTAATTTATTCATTAGTTATCACACTCTCCACGCAGACAAACTAGACCGTTCCCAAATCGCTTTTCCATTCACCGGTGACCCTCCGGTTAGGGTCACCGCACCGGAGCCGAATCATGGTGCCATCAAGGGCATCTCACTGCTTCGACATCCAACGCTTTACCGGTGTTGTGAGAGGGATCCCTATAGCTCGTGTGCTCTCTTCTCGTTATTGGGGTTAGTGTTACGAGTAAATTTTACTTTTAAGAATTTTACCCTAAACAATAACTCTAAATGCACTGGTAAATAGTAAATACATTAGTATTTAGAGATCTAATCCATATAGAAAAAAAAAACATAAAATATTTGCAAAGATTTAAACTAAAGTATAACAACAGGAAGTTACAATTATTCAAAGTGTTTTGAATAAATAAATAATAAAATAATATAAAAAATAGACTTTCAGAGAATTCATCAGAGAATATATGAAACACATGTAAATTCGATTATGATTCAAAACTATCTTTGAAATCGGACTTTTGATTTGAATTACCTTAAAGGTTTTATTAGTGAACACTCCTATCAAGGGACTATGGTTTCATAAACCTTGGTTAAGCTTGGTTCCAAGTAATCTAATCACGCATTAAGAATATAATCCAATAAATTCACAAAACCCTATGATTTACAACTTTTGGTCAGGTTAGTCAAAGATGTAGCGACGGTCGGTACTGGTAAGCTTGACCGGTCCGTGTAATGGCTGGAACACCAGTTGTGGGTGTTGCGACCGGTACGGTGTGTGCTCGTGCGACCGGTCATGGGCAGAGTGACCGGTCCATGGGGACCCGCTCCTTTTTTTCGTCTTTTCTGTTTTTTCCTTTTCTATTTTGTTTAGATCTCTATTTTTTTAATGAAAAACGTGAAACTAAAACTCAAAACTATCACAAGTAAATGACAATAAATCCTAAAAAAGTGTATTTACCTAGTGGGTTGTTTCCCACTTAACGTGCTTGTTTAACATCGTTGGCTCGACGTTTCTTCGGCTAGAGATTATGCTCCCGAAGCTTTGGGTAAGTCACTAGACGTGTTTGCTTCTTTGTCAAGTTCTGCAAAAGTAGGGTTTTAGTCTTTGCCCGTTAGGAACGAGTTCCTTTTCTCTCTCGTTCACGAGAATTACAGATACATACGGCCTCATTTCTTTGGCTTTGAAGGGGCTGGACCATCTTGATCTTAGCTTTCGTAGAAAAAGGTTATGTTGAGAGTTAAAGAGTAGAACCTGATCATTAGAGAAGAACAACTTCCAAATGATCTTCTTGTCGAGGTACACCTTGTTTCTCTCCTTGTATATATCCTTGAACTCTCGTAAGCGTTGTGGCAGATCTCATCAAGCTTGTTTAATTTGATTAAACATTGTTCTGTGGCCGTCTTCAAGTTGAAGTTTAGCTCCTTTATGTCCCAGGCGGCCTTGTATTCAAGTTCGACAGGAAGGTGACAAACTTTCCCATAAACACAATGAAAAGGGGTGGTACCTAATGGTGTCTTATAGGCGGTTCTTGATATGAGCTTTGGCTAAAAATCTTGAGCCAAATTAGGGATAAGTCATTAGCCGGTCTAAGGACCTCTCTAACTAACTCGGATAAGATGGAGATGGAGGATGAATCGAAAAGAACCACAATAGATGTGAAAGTCTATTGATACTTCTTAGAACACTCAAGAATTCAGACACACTCACGAATTAGAGAACAAAATATTTTGTGAAACACAAACAAGCAATTTTATTGATCAAAGGTGAAAAAAAGTAAGGACTACAACTCAAGGCATTATATAGCCAGGTTCATAACTTATTCTAAGAAAAAAACACATAAATCCTGCAAGAAAAACAAGGAAAGACATAACACAAAATCAAGAAAATAAAGGAAAGAGACGTTGGTAATAAAAGAGAATATCAAGGGTGCCGATTAAGGCAACTTTGATCTCTTGACTTTAAAACATGATTCTTCTTTGGTCTTAGAGTCTTGTGGACGAAAGGAGAGCCTTCTTAAATGCCTTCTAGCACCAAAGAACACGTGCTTAAGTGGACTTCAAGTTTGGGGGTGAATAAGGCCCATTTGGCCTCATTGTTTATTAGAGAGTCCACCAGACAGTCCTTCACGTTCCAGCTGTTCCACGAAGATGTTGAACTTCTTCTCTAGGCCTTTGCTCCTGGTCCTAGTCATTGGGCCGCTTGGTACATAGGGAGCTTGAATAATATGA